ATTGTGATGAGAGTTTCAATCCTTGCAAATTCATTTCCTGGACACATGCGTGTTCCTCCGCCGAATGCGACGAAACAATACGGCGGAACTGATGATTTGTTCTCAAATCTGTTGGGATCAAATTTGGTTGGTTCCGGGTATATGGCATTGTCCATTTGTGTCATTGATGAAGCCCAGAATATCTGGATAGTAGGAGAGTTCAAAAACGTCAAAGAAAAAAAATAAACAAATAGGGATTTTTTTTTTTTTTTTTTTTTTTTGGGTATGGTACGAAAAAATACCCTACATATATAGGGCAAATGTCAAATTATCAGATCATCTCAGAATCATATTAGATTTTAAAAAATTACGATGATTTAATGAGGTTTGACGAAGAGATGAAGGTTAAACATGTATCATTTGCTATAGGTAGTGTATTTTCATTCTCTAATTAAGTAGAAAATCGAGATTTAGATTTTTACTTACTTGCCACCCTTTAGGGATGAGGTATCCGCCATATTCAATGTCTTTCACAGCTATTCTGGTGCTACCAAAGATCGGAGGAACTATTCTTAGAGTCTCCATTGCAACTCTCCATGTGTACTTCATCTTTGCAAGGTCTTCCCATGTCAGAAATTCACCTGATTTCTTGCTTCTAGCAATCTCTTCTTGTTCTGCAACCCAAAAAGAAAAAAAAGAAGGAAAAAGGAAAATTAAAGGCATGATCACCTTGCATAAGCATTTTCTCAGTAAACATTAGAATCTAGAAAAGGACGCCACTTTGAACGTTTCGTCAGGCAAGAAATTAGACCGCAAACTTTTGATTTTAGAATTTGTAACTCTAAATTTGACAATCATTGACAATGCAGTCCAATTGATAACATATGTCAATTAGTAGACGACGACAATTAGGGTAACATATGCTAAAATTTAAAAGTTGGGAGTTCAACTTGCTAACAAATAAAGGCCCTGTTTATTTCACCGATTCGAGTTTAGAAGTCGAGTTTTACTACAGTAAAAAGCTCTTAGAAACAGTCACATATAACTTTTTTGCTATAGTAAAAAACTTTCACATAAAGTCACATCTCAACTCTAATTATAAACTCGAATCAGCGAACTAAACAAGCCGAAAAAGTATTGGGTGAATTTGTGATAACTGATGGGGCATTACCGTCCATTAATTGACGTATATATATTAGCTATTGTACTAAATTTGCAACAGATTTTCAAATTGGAATCCCTTTAAAGTAAGGGTTCCATTTGGTTCACACGTTCAAGTCAATGATTCTGATTCAATAACGGGAACTTTGTAGGAGAAGAAAATTTTTGAATTCAAATCTTTTATAAGATGAAAAACACTGTAGCCGAATCAGAATCATAAGTTCAAGTATACGTAATAAACGGGGCCTAAATGTTAGGGGTCCAAGTTGCCAAAATACCAAAAATCGTTTAGGAACTTCATTATCCCAGTTTTTAGTAGTTAAATTCTGCGGAGGAAAGAAAACATTGAACTTTAGTCTTTTGGATTATGAGTAAGAAAACGATAGAGTTCTGTTTACCTTGAAGAACAGCTGCATAATTGGAAGGCTCAATAGCTAGAAACCGGATAATGAAAGTAATAAGAATAGATGAAGTGTCATATCCTGCAATCATAACTAGCATAACATTTTGCATAATCTCCTTCTCACTTAATTCGTCTTCTCCGTCTTCATTTCGGAGGCTAAGCAAGCAAGTTATAAGGTCTTGGTGTGGATCAGAAGCACATTTTTCCTTTAGTTCCACTCTCTTTTCATGAATAAGTTGCTTCACCATGTCTTCGACCCTCTTGCTCGCCTTGAGGCTGCGGTTGTAGCGGGTGAAAGGCAAATTAACGGGAACTGACCATATTCCATCAATCATTTGTTGAAAACCTTCCACAAGATTTTTGCTGCGAGTTCCTCTCTCGAGCCCGAAAAGAAGTGAGCACATTATGTTGAAGGTTAGGATCTTCATTAGGGGTAAGACCTATACCGACAGTGCAATAAATTCAACGGTGAGTAACGTTTACCTATTCTCCAAAAAACTTACGACGAGTCAATATTGAAATTTTATATTCTAACACTCTCCCTTTAAGTGTGGGCTAAACAACAAGTAATCATGTCGGCAAATTTTATTTGAACAGGGCTAACGAATTTATATATCTTTTTAAAGAAAACCATGAAACATGTTCAATGACCCACTAAATACAGGAGTTTAAACTCAAAATCTCACACTCTTAAATAATGTTATTAGTTCTTATAAAAGTTGAAACTGTTAGAAAGTGTGCCCATGTTGGATTTTTTTTTTATATTCTAATAGACTCGCATACTCTTTTTTTTTTAATTATTAAACTTTGAACAAAAGAAAGGAAAATTGACTTACTGTTACTTGTTGCTTGCCAAGCCAATGCATCTCAAGGTGCATCCTAATTTCTTCTTCCATTTTCCCCACATATTGCTTCAGTGACTCCGGCTTCAAGAACAACATAAACGCGTTTCTGACTCTCCTATGATCATCTCCATTTAGCTCCAATAAAGAGCGGTCACCTATAATCATCTGGATGGACTTAGGTTGCTGGTTTGCAATGGCACTGCCGCTGCTGGTAAAGATGAACTTGTTTGCCACTTGTCCATGAAGGAAAACTGTTGGCTTACCAAACAGGCTTAGCTTCGAAATCGGACCATACTTTTTGATTCTTTGTTCCAGCCATTTTTCGGCTGTGTTTGCACGCATTGCACTAAGAAGAGCAAGGGTTTGGCCTATTATTGGTATTCCTAGTGAGCCTGGAGGAAGGTTTTTTGTTGATCTTCCTTTCCTTTTAAGGACAAGGAAGATTGAGATGAAAAGTAGGAGAATAGCGAATATGGTAGTCATGGTGTATGTGAATTAGAGAGAGACGGTGTGTGTGAGAGAGAGAGAGAGAGAGAGAGAGAGAGAGAGAGAGAGACCCTTGAAGAATAGGAAACTCCTAGGGTAGGAGCTTATCTAGAAGTGACTATTTTATTTTATTTTATTTTTAGAATGATTAAAGAGGTGACTATTGGTCTGTTTTTGTTGGTATTTGGTACGATATTTTTTTAATGTGGTAATTCCATTTTATAACATAAAAGTTTGTATCATGTAGTAGATACAAACATGAATTCTAAAATTTGTGGTAAGCTTTACTAATTATTGTCTTAAATTAACCAATATAACTATTAAACATGTCATTGATCATATTAAATGACTTATAGTTATATCAATTATTATTCAACACATTAATTCAAATAAGTTATATGAGTTGATAAGATTAACGTGATTAATAAGCGGGTCGTGTTTGTGTCGATATTTTTTGACACATTTCATAAACAAGTTGACACGAACACGGTCCGTTAACACGAACCCAAGCTGACACTAATGATAAGAGCTATGTTTGGAACAAATTTCTTTTTGGCGTTTATTTAGTACCTAATTAGTTGCACAGGCTAAGAAAGCTTGTTTCTTTAAGGGCAAAAATTTATGATTAGTCAGGGTCCATGGTATAGTGACAGCTAAACAAATATAAACAAAAATAGACGAGTCATGCATGACGAACATTTCTAAAGAGAAACATGTCTTTCTTCTAACAGAATGCTGCCTTTTCTCGGTGTTTTGCTCTCGATGGCTTGCATTAAAAATGATTGTTGTGTTTTACTTATCATTTTTCTAATTGGTATCTTCGTTGAGGTTATTGTCGTTTTTGATTGAGGTTGTTGCCATATGAGGTCAACGGTTATATGTAATGCTTTCTTTTAATGTAGATTCTTGTTGTTTTGTTATAATTTCTATTGATGCGCATTGTTGTTTTCAGATTATACTATTATCCTATCTCGATCCTATTGTCATTTTCTTATTGTTGTTTCATAGTATTCATTATTTGAGGTCTTTTACTTAGTTGGTGTTGTTTCTTTCTATTGTCGTTTTACGGTATGATATCATTTGGTTAATTATTGCTTCTTTTTTTTTTTTTTTTTTTTTTTTTTTTTTTTTTGGGGGTTTTGCCCCTTTTTTTAAATTTTTCTTTTTTTTTTTTTTTGCTTTTATTTTTTTTTTTTTTTTTTTTTTTTTTTTTTTTTTTCAGGTAGTTGCGCCCTTTCTTAAAATGTTCTCCTTTCTTATGCCATTGTCATTTATTATATGGGTGCCCTTTTTTCAATTGGCTGTTTTTAGGTACAGTTATTTCTTTTCTAGTCCAAAAATCGTTTTAATTTTGTTGTCGTTTTAGTAGACGATGTCGTTTCTAAGATGCTGAGTTCTGCTTTGGTATGTCATTGTTGTCTTGTGATATTGGTGTTGTTAGGGTAGTATTGTGGCCTTTCTATTTCTTGTTGCCTTTTGAGGCATGTTTTGATTTTGCTGTCATTTTTGAATTTGTTCTTCTTTGTTACTTATGATATTTGTGTCGTTAGATCAATTGCCATTTTTAGTTGATGTCGGTAGAAGGAAGAACAGCAGGCTCGCCAGGCTCAAATTCATTGCTTACACAAAACCCTAAGGGAAAAGGAGACAAGTACCTCTCAGATAGAATGGGTTTTTACTCCTTAATCTTGATTAATATCATTTTATTCAAATACTATATTAGTCAAAAGGATATTAATTAAAAGTAATAGGTAAAAATCTAGACTCATGCACTTCTAAGAGTAAGTTCGGTAATTTTCTCAAAACTCAAGAGTACTTTTTTGTTTTAGCTTAGTACATGGACCAAATTTACCCTTAGTGTCGTTTTCCCTCAAACTGTCGTTTCTTCCGATTGTTGTCGTTTTTTGAAGTTCTTGTTATTTTTATGTTGTTTTCTCATAATAATAACACTTGAACCATTCCTTACATATACATAATACACACACTCACACACACACACATATATGTATGTATGTATGTATGTAAGTTTGAGACTAGTTAAACAACTGGGGTCTTTTGATTCTTTAAAGCAAACATGGTCTTCTAACAAACTGTTAACAGATCAAGAGAGATCACAAGAACAAATTTCACAGCGGTCTCGTTTGCACGATTTGAACTGGTAATCCTTGAGCTGGTACTGGCGTGGGGTCTCTGCTAAAAGAGTTGTCAGCACATAGTTTCCATGTGAACCGCGTGACCAAATAATGGATTGTGATGAGAGTTTCAATCCTTGCAAATTCATTTCCTGGACACATGCGTGTTCCTCCTCCGAATGCGACGAAACAATACGGCGGAACTGATGATTTGTTCTCAAATCTGTTGGGATCAAACTTTGTTGGTTCTGAGTAGATGCTATTGTCCATTTGTGTCATTGATGAAGCCCAGAATAGCTGAATTAGTATAGGTGAGAGCGTTTAGTCCAAAAGGAACAAAGGTAAGAGATTGGTTCAAAAAAGCAAGACAGAGTTCTGAACCGTCAGATCACCTTAAGATCATATTAGAATGAAAGAAAATTGTGACAATTTCACGGAACTTGATGAGGATCTAAAGGTTAAGATTTTGACTTACTTGCCACCCTTTAGGGATGAGGTATCCACCATACTCAATGTCTTTTAGAGTTTTCCTGAAGCTACCAAAGACAGGAGGAACTATCCTCAGAGTCTCCATTGCAACTCTCCACGTGTACTTCATCTTGGCAAGGTCTTCCCACGTCAGAAACTCGCCCGATTTCTTGCTTCTAGCAATCTCTTCTTGTTCTGCAATCACCAAAAAAAAAAAAAAAAAGAGTCACGAACACCTTGCATCAGTGTTCTCTCCGGCAAGAATTTAGCAGAGAAAACCAGCTCTGAACTGTTCTTCATTCACAAGTAAGACCTCAAACTTTTGATTTTGGGGTCTAGAACCTTAAATTTCACATCTTGGCGATGCATCCAATTGATAACAAGTGTAAACTAATGGACGGCAATGAGGGACCAAATGCATGCCAGGGTTCAATTTACCAACCAATGAAAAGTTTTAGGTGAATTTTTGAAAATATATTGGCCATTTCTGCCCACTAATTGACGTCCATTAGCTATTGAACTATAATTGCAACAAATTCTCAAATTTAAACTCCCATTTGCCAAAACTGAAAAAATTGGGATTCAAATTTCCAAATACCAATAAATTTATGGCACAAAACTATAAAAAAAAAAAAAAAAACACTTTAGGTACTTTATTAATATAACATTTTTAGGTTTCGTTCATTTCACCAATTCGAGTTTTCAGTTCAAGTTTTGCTATAGTTAAAAGCTCTCACAAAAAGTCATATCTAACTTTTTTACTACAGTGAAAATTTCTCACATAAAATCACATATCAACTTGAATTGAAAACTCGAATCCGCAAACTGAACGAGGCCTTAATAGTCAAATTTTGTGAAAAGCACACTCACTCACACACACACACACACACACACTTGACTCTAGTCTTCTGGATTTCTAATAAGAAAAAGATAGAGAGTTCTGTTTACCTTGAAGAACAGCTGCATAAATGGAAGGCTCATTAGCTAGAAACCGGATAATGAAAGTAATAAGAACAGATGAAGTGTCATATCCTGCAATCATAACTAGCATAACATTTTGCATAATCTCCTTCTCACTTAATTCTTCTTCTCCGTCTTCATTTTGGAGGCTAAGCAAGCAAGTTATAAGGTCTTGGTGTGGATCAGAAGCACATTTTTCCTTTAGTTCCACTCTCTTTTCATGAATAAGTTGCTTCACCATGGTTTGGATCCTCTTGCTCGCCTTGAGGCTGCGGCTATAGCGGGTGAAAGGCAAATTAACTGGAACTGACCATATTCCATCAATCATTTGTTGAAAACCTTCCACAAGAATTTCACTGCGAATTCCTCGCTCGAGCCCGAAAAGAAGAGAACACATTATGTTGAAAGTGAGGATCTTCATCAGGGGCAAGACCTATACAAGTAGTACAACAACTTTACTAACATAATTTCATGCAATTTACCGATTCTCTCTAAAACTTAAGACATGAATATTAAAAGAAAATCATGAAATATGTTAAATGGAGCGACACGGGGATATTTTCTATAGAAATTGTGGTGTACAAATACAGGAATTTGAACTCAGGACCTCCTATTTTGAGATTATGCTATATGTTTTTTCAAAAGTTTACACTATTAAAAGGTGTGCTAATACTGGATTCTATATTCTAATAGACTCATATATTCTTTTAATGATATTGTAAGCATTTCATTTTCTGGACTCATTGGCTTCTTATTAAAACCTTATATAAAAATAAAAGGAAAGAAATTATTGACTTACTGTTACTTGTTTCTTCCCAAGCCAATACATCTCAAGGTGCATCCTAATTTCTTCTTCCATTTTTCCCACATACTGCTTTAGTGACTCTGGCTTTAAGAACAACGTAAGCGCATTTCTGACTCGCCTGTGATCATCGCCGCCTAGCGCTAATAAAGTCTGATCGCCGATAATCATCTGGATGGACTTAGTTTGCTGGTTCGCAATGGCGCTGCCATCGCTGGTAAAGATGAACTTGTTTGCAGCATGTCCATGAAGGAAAACTGTTGGTTTACCAAAAAGGCTTAGCTTTGAAATTGGACCATACTTTTTGATTCTTTTTTCCAGCCATTTTTCGGCTGTGTTGTCACGCATAGCTCTTAGAAAACCAAGGCTTTGTCCTATTATTGGTATTCCCAGTGAGCCTGGAGGAAGAAGCTTTCTTCTTGATCTTCCTCTCCTTGTAAGGAGAAGGAAGATTGAGATGACAAATAGGAAAATAGTGAATAGGGTAATCATGGTATATGTGTATTAGAGAGAGAGAGAGAGAGAGAGAGAGAGAGAGAGAAATTAGAAGAGGGCTTGAAGAGCATGAAACTCTTATACTAGAGTAGGAATTTATAGAAGTGATTTTGGTCCATTTTTGTTGGTATTTGGTAGGGTATATTCTTACCCTTTAGCCTGAAAATTCCATTCTATCTTTTGTTTTAACTGAAAACTAAAAGCTATGAAACGCTTGTTTTGAGAAATGAATATACACTACGGTATTTGCAAGGTTGAGTTATTACGTAGCACTAATAAAATTTTTTTTTTTATGAAAGTACCAAATTTGATATATATATATATATATATATCTATTTGTCACTGATCCATATCAGATTACTTCAGTAATACCACATTTTAGTATGAAAAATGACAAAAAAAAAAAAAGGAAAATTCAATGCTAGGTATGAAATACCTCTTTTTTATTCATTCTATAAAAATAATCCTAAGTTGTCCTACGTATCTGTTTTTAAAAAGTTATTTTGTACTTGTTTACTTCTTCATCTCATCATGGTAGCTTCCGCCCAATCTTGTCGTCGGGTAAGGTTAATCTGTTAGAGATATGGCCAAATCCTTGAAGACGTTCAATTCTATATTGAACCTCAAGTCACTAGTGGAATGGCGGTAAAAATTTAGGTATGAAAAAGAAAAAAGACAAGTGTCTCAACGTGCCGATACTATGATGAGAACTATGTTCCATTTTTTTTTTTTTTTTTTTTTGGGTGCTTATTTAGCACGCCGAAAATTAGGTGAATGGCCAAGTTTAACCAGCCCTTTTTAAACTAATGGCCGAAATATTTTTAGGTAAATGATAATTCTTTTTACGATCATGGTGTGTCACTGAAAAAACCAATAGTTTATCCATGATAAATTGGTAAATTATTAATTAGATTGGTTAATTACTTACTAATATTGGTCAATTAATGATAAGTCACCAAGTCAATCTATGATACACCACCAAGTCAATCAGTGATAAACCTATTTGTGTTGATTTACCGTGATTTATCTCCTATTTGTTCTAGTGGATGCAATCATTTTCTTAATTTTATAAAACTGCGGTCCTTTAAAAAAATAGCTCAAAAACCGTAAAATTTTGCATAGACTAAGAAAGGGTCCATGGTATAGTGACAACTGAGCACATTTGAACAAAAATAAATGAGTGATGACGAGCATTTCGAAAGAGAAAACATATCTTTCTTCTTACGAATGCTGCCTTTTCCCCTTGTCTAGTTCTTGTTGGCTTGCATTAAAAATGATTGTTGTGTTTTTACTTCTTGTCATATTATTGTTGTGTTTTTACTTCTTGTCATATTATTGTTGTGTTTTTACTTCTTGTCATATTATTGTTGTGTTTTTACTTCTTGTCATATTATTGTTGTGTTTTTACTTCTTGTCATTTTTCTGAATATTGCTGTCGTTTTTTAGCATGTTGTCGTTTTTTATTGAGGTTGTTGTTATGTCGATGTTATTATTAGGGTTAATCTCACAAATGGTTCTTAAGGTTTACCCTCAATCCCATTTTAGTCCCTAACTTTGAAAACGTCTCACATTTGGTCCTTTAGAATTTACTCTGTTTCAGTTTCGGTCCTTCTGTTAGCTTGGTGTTAAATATTTGACAGAATTTGTATCAATTAGGGACTAAAATTGGAAATATATAAAGTTTAGGGACTGAACAAAAAACAAAAAATTTCCATAGATAGTCCCAAATTTTAGTTGTTTTTAATTTTGATTTCTAATTTAGACGGATTCTATCAAATTTTAACACTTACGTAACGGAAGGAACGAAACTAAACAAAATAATACCTTAAAGACCAACTGTGAAACGTTTGCAACTTTAGAAACTAAAATGTGTTTGAGGATAAACCTCAAAGATCATTTGTAGAATTAACCCTTATTATTATAGGGTAAAGCTACAGATAATACTTTCATTTATTGTATATTGTTGCTGTTTTGTTAATTTCAATTGATTTTTCCCATGAATTGTTGCTTCAAAATATTACCATATCTCAATTATATTGTTATTTTTTTTATTATTTTTGTAGAGGTCGGAGTTTCACTGTATAATGTAAAAAGTGCAATTACAATGGCGAAAGAAAAAAAAAAGATGAGAGGAGAAGAGGATTTAAAGAGAAAATCTAGAGAGAAAGGGAGAGAATGAGCAGAATAAGGTTCTCCTAATTCGTGGTAGCAATCCTCTATTTACAGAAGATGATTTTGAGCCTCCTTACTTTCTCAATTCTTGAGTGGATTCGTGGTTGACCGGTAGAAAAGGTAGTTTCCTTATATGGTTTCAGTTGAATTTCATCATCCCTTGTTTCCTAATTGATTTAAGGATGCTTGCTCTTCAAGTTTGATTCAATTCTAGTTCGTATTGTCTGATTTAGTTAATTTGGTCTTAGTGGCTTAAAAAGAATTTTCTTTCCTTATTTTTCTGTGGTGGTCTCCACGAGTCTCCTGTCATCATACTTCTCTATACTTCTCCGGTCTACGTTTTCTCTCGAGTCGATCTGCGGCCATTTGATTCCAGTCAAAATTATTCATAAATTATTGTACACGTGCACAACGATGATCATGGTGTTGATTTCAATGCTACTATTTTTATTGTTCTTTTTATGTAACTCATATTGTCATAGTTTATGCCTTTTTTGTTACATTTTTTTTTGCTGAATAATGTCGTCCTCATAAATAGAATTGCTCTCGTTTGTTATGCCATTGTCGTTTTACGCGATGTTGATATCATTTGGTTAGCTATCGCTTTTTCTAGTCCATTCTTTTTGGCATCGTTTTAGAGTTTCCCTCGTTTCTTAAAATGTTTTGTGTTCTCCTGTGTTATGTCATTGTCGTTTATGATTTTAGTGTCCGTTTTTAAATTGTCCTTTCTTAGGTACAACCGTAGTAACGTTAGAGATGCAAGAATGGGCCGGCCCGGCCCGGCACATTCTTCTTAGGCCCACGTGGGCCGTGGGCCGGGCCGGCCCGGCCCACGAACTATGTGGGCCGGGCCGGCCCATATATGAATTACCTCAGCCCGGCCCAATCCACGTGCCAACTTTACGTGGGCCAGGCCGGGCCGTACCGTGGGCCAGGATGGGCCGTGCTGTGGGTCTTGAATGGGCTGGCCCATATTGGCCCATCATGAGTTTAGATGGGCTGGCCCATTCAAGACCCATCTTGGCCCATCATGGGTTTAGATGGGCCAGCCCATCTATGCATGTAATTTTTAATTTTTTTTTATTTTTAAACAAGTTAACAAAAATAAATGTTTGAATAGTCAATGAGAATATGAAAAGATATATTTTATTTACGATTGCCTCATTAAAAACTTTTCTAAGGAAAACCAGTAGGATAAAACCTTAGTAAGAAAAAAAGAGTACAATCAGAATAATTATACATAAGATGTTTACAAAATTACCAAAACAAAGAAAAAAACATAAAAAAAATAGATATTGTTCGTAATTACAATGTATTACTCCAAGTGAGAGTATCAGAAATGTATAAATTTTCAAAATCATCAACCCAATCATCTTGAACTTGTTGGCTTCTTCTGCAAGCATCCTCCTAATTTTTGACGCACATTACTGCCTCCAGAATATTGTCACTCAATCATGCACGCCGTTCATCAAGTACTCTACCACTGCAATTAAATACTTGTTCACTTGCAACTGTGGACACTGGTATGGTTAGTATATCCTGTGTCATTCTAGAGAGCACAGGAAAAGTTCTTGACTGTGATCTCCAAAATGACAAAATATCAAACTTATTGAAATCATGACCACCACCTTGTTCATTGAAAATGAATGCCGCAAAATTTGTTTCCAGATAGTTTTCTAACTCACTACGTGCTGAAGATGTGGATGACGCACCGAAACCAAATTCGGTGTAGCTAATCATACTTTCTCATGAAGAACCATGTGGTATAGATGTAGTACTCGCTAAAGGTGTAAGGGACATTGTTTGGCCTCCTCCATATTTTTCGTTATATGCAGTAAATAAAGTGTTAACTTTTACTTGCACATTTTGAATGGTTATGATGTCAGAATGCACCTTCAGTTTTTTTCCAAACAATAATTTTTTCTCTTTTCCAGACAATTTCCTCTTTCTTTCTCCCACAAAATAATTATATATATATATATATATACATATTAGATGTATAGTATTTTGATGTGATAATACATGACTTACAGTATCAATTTTACTTCTTAGAAACATGCAGTAAATAAAGTGTTAACTTTTACTTGCACATTTTGAATGGTTATGATGTCAGAATGCACCTTCAGTTTTTTTCCAAACAATAATTTTTTCTCTTTTCCAGACAATTTCCTCTTTCTTTCTCCCACAAAATAATTATATATATATATATATACATATTAGATGTATAGTATTTTGATGTGATAATACATGACTTACAGTATCAATTTTACTTCTTAGAAACAAAACACGTCTATAAATAATTTTTCTGGTCCGGCCCATAGTGGGCCTAGATGGGCCCATCTGGGCTGGCCCATTGTGGGCTTAGACAGGCCCGTTTGGGCCGGGCCATTTTGGGCCTAGACGGACTGGGCTGGGCCGGCCTATCATGGGCCTAAACGGGCCGGCTCAGCCCGGCCTGGCCCATGATTTTTCACGGGCCGGCCCATGGGCCGATATAAGTTGGCCCAGCCCAACCCACCAATATTTATGGGTTGGGTCGTGCCTTGAACAGTGTCAGGCCGTGTCGGCCTGGCCCGTCACTATATCAGGATGGGCCTAGACCGGCCCATAGACTCCGGCCCATTGTTGCATCTCTAAGTAACGTATAGTCGTCTCTTTTTCTAGTTCCTGTGGTATTTATTTTGTCGTCCCTTTTATTACTTTGTTACAACTTTTCACGGCCTTGCTTTCTTTTCATTACGTAAGCGTGCGACCTTAGCACTTCCCGGTACTAAGTCAGCCAAAATTCACCAAAACTCACTAGACTTGGCAAGGAGCAATGAAAAGCTAAGTCAAGACACCAAGAGAAAGCTTTTGAATGTTAAAGAAAGTGGACTTCTATTAGTAAGTGAAAGTTTACAAGCTTGGAAGATTGAATATGAATGAAGGAGTTTCCCCTATTTATAGGCCCTTGGCCTCCTAAGGTAGATTCTAGAATTCCGTGGAAAAGTGATTAGTCTAGAAAATTCTAATGGCTTCCGAAGTCTTTCAAAGAATTTTAGGGCTTCTAGAGAATTTCAGATACTTCTAGATTCTTCCAAAGCTCCAGATCGTGATGGAGACTTTTATAATATTAGAGAACCTTATAGAAAATACTTGATTTTTCTAGAATTTTCTAGAGTGTTCTAACCTTTAAGAATATTCTAGAGAATCCTAGAGTCTTCACGAACCTCCGAGAGCTAGGATGGGGCAAAATTATGCATCTTGTGACATTCTGCCTCACCTAAGCTCGTGAGGCCCTCGTCGCGTCTTCTTCCTAAAACTGCCGAATATGATCCTTGAATTGCTAAAGTGCATCTTGTGACATTCTAAGTACCTCTTGTGACATTATCGAAGGAAGTTATCGAGTAGGGTCATCCATGTCTTTGTCATACAGTTTCAAGAGACTAACATGAAAAACCGGATGAATCTTGAGTTTAGGAGGTGGTTGGAGTTGGAATTGTTTGTCTTCTAAAAGTGTTCTTTGCCTGCCTTTGACGCTTTGTTCAAGTAGGCTCGAGCTAACTCAGCTTGCTCATGCCATGACTTTGCAAACTTGAATGTGGCTAGACTCTTGCCTTCATAGCTTGTGGCAAGATACTTTGGATTTTTTCATCGATTCGAGTTTAAAATTTAAGTTTTGCTATAGTAAAAAACTCTCAGAAATAGTCACATTTAACTTTTTTACTACAGTAAAAAGCTCTCACATAAAGTCACATCTCAACTCGAATTAAAAAATTCGAATCAGCAAACTAAACGGGCCATTAATTGGTTGCCTCACTCCTTTGAAGGTTGGAAGAGAATTGGGCCACATCAAGCAACTTTGCCCAATCACGTTAGTTGGCACTCGCATAGTGCCTCAGTTACAACTCCAGGAGTGCATTGATGCTCTCTGTTTGGGCTGTTGTTTGTGTAATTATTGCTTTTCTAGTTTGTATTGCTTGTTGAGATGTCGTTTCATTTATCTGTTACTTTTTAGATGATTTTTATTTTTTTTATTTTTATTGTTGTCTTCTAAAAGTGTTCTTTTATATGTCAGTGTCTATGGTATTCGTGTTGTCATAAATCAATTGTCTCTATTTTAGTTAATGTCGTTATCCTGTTATTATTTTTTCGTTTTTGTAATTTAGAAGCAAAAAAAGTAGGATCACTAGTTGAGGTAAAAGTTTAGGCCATCCGGTCATACCCGAGCTTGACAACTTGAATGGGATATTCGGGCTGGCTCTGCCTAACCCTAAAAGGAGGAACGCCGACCCAACTCAATCTTAAAGCCCAATGGGTTAGGGCCATGAATAGGCCGGTCCATACTTCTACAGGGAAAATTAAAATTTATATTTATAATAAGAGCATTTCGGGCCGCCTGCTAGGTTTGAAAAAAAGTTTTGGGTCTAAAGTATTAGACCAACCCAACCTAGAGGTTCGGACCTGGATTGAATTAATAGTAAGTTTCAAGCTGACTTGTTTAGTCCTACTCAAACTTACAGCTTTACTCGTCAGGCTCAAGTGCTCAAAGGCCAAGCAGATTTTGGGATGGCTTAATTAAAATAATGAAAGCACTCTTAAATTAATTGACACTATTTGACTAGTTAGGGAGTTCTGCCAATTAAAGGTGCAATTAATTTTTGGAGTTAGTGGAAGTTTAAAGATCTTGTCTTGGCGGGAAAGCTCAAAAGCATTGAATTTATTTTTGGGAATTTAGTTTATATTTATTTTAAGGTTTAGTTGTTAAGTTGTAGAGCCTAATTAAAGCCTCGATAATTATTGCCTTTTGAAGAAGAATTCGCGGATCAACCTTTGTAAATTCATGGCGACAAATTAGTCCAATTAAAGATAGTTTAGAAATTTCACACTTGTAAATTCAGTTCGGGAGGAGGGAAGGGGATGGGGGGTCATTACAGAGGTTAGAAAATACCCAGAGAGTTACAAGATATGTGATTTTTGCTGGTAAACTTCTTAAGCATAATCCCACATTAAAGCGTCTAATTCTTAAGATTAGGATAAAAGTTTGGGCTTATTTTTGTGTATATATTTGGGACAATTTGTACATATGTTTCTTCTTTGTGTTTTGAAACATACTGCCTAATTCGTACTTGATCACACATTTACTTTGAGTTTACTATGAGATGCAAATGATAAACCTGTTAATTTACATTTCAAAGTCAACTATTGACCCCAAAATGGTACAATTTTAACAACCACCAAAATACATTTTACATTTTTTCTAACCTCAAATTGCAAGGTATAAAATAGTGAGTAAGCCAAACCATGATCACCAATCACCATATTCCACTGTGGTATTAGAAGAGAAACAAGAATAAACTTTTACAGTGGTTTCTTGGGCATGATTTCCACCGGTAATCCCTGAGCTGGTACTGGCATGGGATCTCTGCTAAAAGAGTTGTCTGCACATAACTTCCATGTGAACCGTGTGACCAAATAATGGATTGTAATGAGAGTTTCAATCCTTGCAAACTCATTCCCTGGACACATGTGTGTTCCTCCTCCGAATGCGACGAAGCAATACGGCGCAACTGAGGCTTGGTCTTCAAATCTGTTGGGATCAAATTTTGTTGGTTTTGAGTATATGGTGTTGTCCATTTGTGTCATTGATGAAGCCCAAAATATCTGTATAGGTAAAGGTTGAGTTATTAGAATTATAACAGAAGAAATGTAGTTGAAAAGGGAAGGGAACGAAAAGGAAAAATGGATTGAGAAATATTCAAGGGTACCTTTGTTACCTTGTGTGTTAGGTTTATTCAGAAAGTGTACATGATTTTTTTATCTCATCAAATGTATTCACAAATTCATATCTTTTCTTGGTCAGCATTCGATTTATTGACTAAGAGAAGGTACGAACTCATGTATAAAACATTATTTGAATATATTTGATGAGATAAAAAACTGAGGGTATATTTTTCTGAATACACTTAAAACATACAAAAACATAAATAACCCAATATTGAAAGGTTTTGACTTACTTGCCACCCTTTAGGGATGAGGTATCCACCATATTCAATGTCTTTTAGAGCTTTCCTGAAGCCACCAAAGACAGGAGGAACTATCCTCAAAGTCTCCATAGCAACTCTCCATGTGTATTTCATCTTTGCAAGGTCTTCCCAAGTCAGAAATTCACCAGATTTCTTGCTTTGAGAAATCTCTTCTTGTTCTGCAATCGCAAAATACATGGCATCATCACCTTGCATCAGCGTTCTTTCAAGCAAGAATTAGCTAAGGAAACTGATGTGTTTCGAATATTTACAATCCTGGTTTTTAACAGTCGGATGCTGAGAAAAAAACCTTTTAAGCTTTAATCTTTCGGATTTCAATCAAGAAAGAGATGGAGAGTTCAGTTTACCTTGAAGAACAGCTTCATAAATGGAAGGCTCATTAGCTAGAAACCGTAAAATAAAAGTAATCAGAACAGAAGATGTGTCATGTCCTGCAATCATGACTAGCATAACATTGTGCAAAATCTCCTTCTCCGTCATCACATCTTCGTCTTCTTCATTTCGGAAGCTAAGCAAGCAAGTGATGAGGTCTTAGTGTGGAGAAGCGCCTTTCTGCTTCAACTCCCCTCTCTTTTCATGTATGAGTTTCTTTAATATGTTTTGGACCTTTTTGCTTGCGTTAAGGCTGCGATTGTAACGCGTAAAGGGCAAATTAACAGGGACCGACCACATTCCTTCTATCATTTGTTGAAAACAGTCTATAAGTTTGTCTCTGCGAGCTCCTCTTTCGAGGCCAAAAAGAAGAGAGCATATTATATTGAAAGTGAGGACCTTCATCAGGGGAAGTACCTATAATAGCAGCCCAAAACCTTTCTTGAGTAACCTTTGGTTGACTTGTTATTGTTGCTTATTAAACAAATCAGGAACAAAAAACCAACTTACTGTTACTTGTTGCTTTCCAAGCCAATGCATCTCAAGGTGCTTCCTGATTTCTTCTTCCATTTTCCCCACGTATTGCTTCAGTGACTCCGGCTTCAAGAACAGCATGAGCGCATTTCTGACTCGCCTGTGATCATCACCGCTTAGCTCTAACAAATTCCGGTCACCGAGAATCATCTGGATGGACTTAGTTTGCTGGGTCGTAATGGCGCTGCCGTCGCTGGTGAAGATGAACTTGTTTGCAGCATGGCCATGAAGGAAAACTGTTGGCTTACCGAACAGGCTTAGCTTCGAAATTGGACCATACTTTTTTATTCTTTCTTCCAGCCATTTTTCTGCTGTATTCGCTCGCATTGCTCTTAGAAGACCGAGGCTTTGGCCAATTATCGGTATTCCTAGCGAGCCTGGAGGAAGCTTTCTCATTGATTTTCCTCTCCTTGTGAGGAGAAGGAAGATTGACATGAGGAACAGAAAAATAGTGAATAGGGTACTCAGGTATATCGTATGAGAGGGGTATGGAGCTGAGAAGAAGCCTTGAAGAGCGTGGAAAGTTGTCTTGAACTATCGTGGGAGTTTATTTCAATCTATTATTGTTGGTATTTGGCAGGGTATATTTTTTTCCCTTTAACCTGAAAATTCCCTCTTATCTTTCTGTGTTATAGGAGAACTAAAACTAAAACTAAAGTATTATGCAAAGAAGCTTGTAGGAGAGAGACTAGAAAACCTCTTTTGTTATGGTTCAATTATTGGTCAATGTTCAAGTTCCATAGGATAGTGACAACTAGATATGACAAACTTGCACACAAAAAAAAAAAAAAAAAAAAAAAAAAAAGGGGCCATGACCAACATTTAAAGAAAAAAGAAACAACATAACATCTCTTTACTGAAAAAAGGTGCCATGACCAACATTTAAAGAAAAAAGAAACAACATAACATCTCTTTACTAATGAAAGATGCCATTATTCCTTGGTTTCATAGCGTTGACTTGCATTAATGTGTCATTTGAAAACGATGGCAAAACTAACATGTACTATTACACGTTGTCAAGATCTTAAAAGAATCACACTTCTAAAAGGACCACAAAAAGTTTCTGATTCCATCCAGGAAAATGACAAATTCCTAGTAGAAACTAGAAAAGAAAAACAGACCCACTTCGAAAATTGCACTGAAATAAAAGGCTTCAAACCTTTGTATGTCATTATAGAAATTGGAAATCAGAAGGTATTTGTGTTATTTTAAAGAGCATTCTCTGCAATCATATAAAGGAAGTATGTCCATTATATAGTATCACTTCAGAATTCAAATTGATTCAAAGAAGAATACAAAGGAGTGTCAGAATAATAACAGCTAGGCTGCAGTTAGAATCAGGTTCTCTTCATCTTCAAAGACATAATTCCTTAAACCGTTATGACACACAAATTGCTAGCAAAGTGCCAAGCAGCAAAAGTTTCTTTAAAAGTCTAATATCTGATGGAAGCATCCGTGTAAGTGCGGCCCAAAAACATCGACTAGAAGTATCAAAATGAGATGCTTAGACGCCTTCATTCATTCGGCCTTGGCAGGAATATGGTTCCCGCCAGTTGCAATTTTGTACAAATAAAACAAAGTCATGAGAGCACTGCAACAAAACATGATAGCAGTTATAATACGCTTATCGCATACCATGAAGAAAAAGTCAATTTGGAGGCGAAATAGAAGCATAGTGGAAAAGGATGGCCAAGTAGAAATCCATGTTCAACGAACCTGATACCGGCAACAACACCAGCTGGCATAATCTTAGAAGTTTGCAAATAGCGCTGCCCCATTACTGTCGTCAGTGCGGCTGCACATACTGTTTTTCAAGACAACTAGAATTAGTTCGGAAACAAGGTTTTCTTAATTCTTTAAGTTGAAGCTACAGATTATACTAATACGCATTCACATAGTGAAAATTAGAAAGAACCGGTCTAGTAATAATCTCGGAGTCTCAGTCGCACGTGCATGCAATGCAAGTGCTCACATCTCATCCCTGCCCGAAAACACCAATTTTCATTACATTCCTTCTTCACGCCTCGTTTTAGAAAAACAAATTCTGGATGTCTAAACCGAAACCAAAAATATCGCGCCTAAAAGCAGTTCCTTCACATGATACTAGCAGGCACGAACTCTATTCCTAAAAGCTATCACTTTGGCTAGTTAATGGCTGTTCCTAGATAACCCTTTGCTTAAAGCCGTCAATGAGACTATCCTACTTATAAAAAACAAATATGCATTTTAACCCCTGCTTATGCATACCAAGTTAACACATAACCATATAATAGTCAAAAATCCACTTTTCTTCCTGTAATTGATTTATCCCCCAACTTACATCAAACACATCCTCTAACAGATACAGCTAATGATGTCCATTTATGTTTGGGAGAATTCTACGATAGAGTATAAAAAATAAATAAAAAAATAAAAAAAAAACCAACAACAACAACACTACATAGATAGGGCACAATTCTAAACTGTCAAATATCCATCAAGCTTCGTCCAATTGTCATACTTTTCGTAATCTATTGTCATTCTTACATGATCTGACAGTTGAAACTCCAATTTATCACATAAAGGAAAGAAACTAAGACGAAACGTTTCTTCAAAGAAACACAAACTCAGATCAATTATCACTGCTATTAAATTTCCATTATTAGCTAATAAACAAAAATCTCAGATCTACAAACTAGAATTTCGCAAAGAAAAACCAGAAATTCAAAAATTCAAACCTGTCTCGAGAATCAAAGCGAAGTAGGAATTCTTCCTCCTCTCGAAGGCCTTGAGGCTGAGAGAGCCGGCGAGAATGAGCACCAATCCAGTGCCCACGCCTCCACCGAGAGAAGCTGTGCTCCCCTTCTTCAGATACCCGATCACGCCTCCAATCGCCACGATCAGCCCGTACGGAATGGTGAAGCAGAAATCGTGCATTTTCCTTTTTTTTTTTTTTTTTTTTTTTTTTTTTTTTTTTTTCCGTTTGGGTTTTTTTCCCGGGAAATTTTCGGATTCTCGGAAACTTTAACCAGTTTTCGCTCGCGGATAGATCAGGCGAGATTTTTGTGTGAAACTGAAATTTATTGTCAACGACTACTGGCGCGTGGAGATTGCTTTAGTCAAAAAGTTGATGTTCAGTGCATATTCCCAACTCCCATCTTTACTGTCTTTCCAGAAAGGCCCCTTGATTACGTCATGATAATAAAGAATAATCAACTTCTAGTTTTTTTTTTTTTATAAATAAATTATACTGTTGCACCTCTAATTTTAATTGTTTTTAATTACACCATATATTTTTCTTTTCATAATTATATCTTAAATTTTAAAATAATTAGTAATTGAAATTATAAAATTGACGGATATTTTTAAATTAATGGTTCTAGACATTCCATTTACACTTACATGCGACCTGATTTAAAAAATGTCAAATTTTTTCTTCCATATGTGAATTTCATGTTAAATTGTGATTTTTTTTTGAAGGATTAAATTGTGAATTTCATGTTAACGCTAGAAAGTTATTAGATTTTAATTGTTATTGATCGAAAAGTTCAGAGTACAATTCTTAAAAATAATAATTTAAGAAGTATTAAGTAAAAACAAAAAATTAAAAATGAAATAGTACAATTTCCTCTTTTTTTTGGAAGACTTTTAGTCATTTTTAACTTGATAATCATTGAGAATTATGAGTTATTCATCAAGTGCATATCCAATTTATCCACCTTTGGTATTTTTGACAAAGATAATGTTAAGAATTATAGGTTGTGTTTGGAATTGATCCCGTTTTTATTTTTTATGTTTTTTTAGAAATTTAAAATAAAAATGTTTTTAAAACGGCATTTGACGCAATAAAGATAAACACGGAAATAAAAATGATTTTTTGGTTTAGTGTAAAATGAGAGAGAAATGAAAAATGACTTTTAGTCGTTTTTTATTTTTTATTTTTGTTTTCAACTCTCTCGAGCATAGAGAAAGAGAGAGAGACATTAATGAGTTTTTTATACTGAAAATAATCTTTTGATAAAACTACCAAAGATATTTTTAAAAATGATTTATGTATGAGATTAAAAACGTTTTCATTTTTATTTTCATACAAAAAATAAAATCATTTTGAAATGAGTTTCAAACGCACCCATAACTTTTATGTCGATTTTCTTTTCAAAATAAGACAAAAAAATAATAAATAATGTGACATCTTAACAAGAAAAGAAAGAAAAGCAATAACAATATTTCGACCCAAAGGAAAAAAAAAACAAATAATACATAAAATTACTCATCTACCTTTCAAAAATTCTAATACTCTTTGCGGAATAAATCTTCATTCAGTGATTTTTATAAAATTAGAACGGAGTGTAGGCAAATGGACAGTGGATGCATCACGTGTTTTGAAAACGCTACTGAGCTTTATGTGTCTAAAGTAAATAATGTTTTATGAATATTGATGCGTTATGTAACGAAAGTTAAGTTTACGAGACAGTAAGGTTATGCATAGCAATCTCAAATCACAAAGTTTAATTAATATATCTAAATGCTATAGCATTAACAAAATACATAACAAAAATACTACAGCATTAAGATGTATAAATAGTAATGATACGTGAATGACATGTTAAATATATGTCCACGAATAAGGAGGACAAGATCAAAATTTTAAAGAAAAATTAAAAATATTTTCGGGATAGTAACTTTACTACATTCTCTCATGTTTAGTAATAAATTTCAGAGAGCCGGTATCTTACTTAAGCTTCTTAGTCTGCATTTTCAAAATTTTCAAATAAAGAATAAAGTTGATATCTTTTTATTTTTACCTTGTTGAAAAATGAAAATAGAATATTACTTTTTCAAAAAAAAAAAAAAAAAAAATCTAGCAGGTAAATGTTGGCGACAAGAATCCGTCCACCGGCTCAGAACAGCCGTTTCTGCTCAGTCCTCAAAAGGCCATTATCGTTTTTTCCCCAAGCCCTAAAAATGGCGGAGATTCGCGCCAACTCCAAGAGACCCACTTGCCCAACGTGCGCCAAACCGGCATGGCTCTGCCTCTGCGCTCGGATCAAGACCAGAGAGCTCGACAACTCTGTAAGTGTCACCATTCTTCAACACAGTCTAGAGGAAAAACACCCTCTTAATTCCGCTAGGATTGCGAGATTAGGGCTAAAAAACGTCAATTTGGCAACTGTTTCTGACGTGAATTTCGAAGCCCAGTTCGTTATCCGATTGATGGAGCGTAATTCTGAAATGGGTTCTTTTTGTGGTTCAAAAGAGAATGAGTTTGACGAAGTTTTTGAAGATGTGGGTGATTTAGCACACCAGGTGTTTGCAAAATGCCTGAAAGAGAAGAGCTTTGATTTTATTGGTGCTAATGGGAAAAGTGGTTTAGAGAGTGATATCCGTGATTCTAAGAATACAAAAAATCATGTTGAAAGTTTGTATTTCGAGAAAAAATCGGGCTTGGGAAGAATTCAAGAGGGTGTTGGTGCAAAGGATGATTTTGGTTTTGAGACTTCTGATAAGCAACCAGTTAAACAACCTGATGAAGAAAAGATTACTAATTTGGTTTATGATGAAGGACCCGTGATCACTGCTACAATTGGCAAAAAAGGTGTAGTTAGCTGTCTTTCTCACATTTGGATGCTGCAAAACCATCACGGGAAGTCGAATTTTGATGAAATTTTAGAATCTCAAGCTGCCCGAGATGCTTTGGCGAAAGGATATGTTGTGCAAAAGTTGCAAAAGCGGCAACGGGAAGGGAGCTTAGAGTTGGAAGAGTACATGGAATTTGAGATTGCGGTTCCTCCTGGCTCCATACTCTTGTTTCCAAGCAAACAAGCGGTTGGTGTTGACAGACTCAAAGCTATTGCTCTCGACGTGACGAATTTGATTGTTCTGGATGGAACGTGGGCAAAGGCGAAGAGAATGTATGCCGAAAACCCGTGGTTGAAACTTTTGCCACACTTGAAGTTAGAACTAGACAAGGTGAGCTTGTATAGCGGAGTGAGGATGCAGCCAAAAGCTGGATGTTTGTCCAGCATTGAGAGCATTGTATATGCACTTAAGGAATTAGGGGACGAGAATCATGAGGGCTTGGATGATCTCTTGGATGTTTTCGAGTCCATGGTTGGTGACCAGAAGAGATGTAAAGAGAGGAGGTTAAGCAATGCCTCTTAGTTTTGAACAATGCTACCACCCACTAATAGCAGGTTTCACGGGGCCCCACAAGTGGGGCTTACCTTCTATTAGTGATGAGTTTAATGCTAGCTGTGCCCGTAAGCATTTTTTTTAGGCTTTATTATAATGTCCATTTCTTATTTAGAGTTGACAGAATGCTAAAACTAGTGAAACCAAAAAAAGTGCACGTAGATGTTTTATATCGTCATAGAAAGTTCTATAGTACCATTGTTGTGTTGTAGACTTGTAGGTGGTTGCTTCATTTTTATCATAAATTTATTATTTTATCATAAACAGACGCCTTATTTTTTGCCTTGCCCTTTTATCACACAGCCAAATCCATAATCTGTTGGAAACTAGAATTTTCTAATTTGTGCTTTTCAGAACTTGAGAATAATTCCTAATCTATCCCTTGAACATTAATTAGCCTTGTATCCACCTTATCAATTAGCCTAAACCAGACAATCGCTAGTTTTACCTCAAAGAAGCAATTTTTAGTATGTAGCCTATGTTTTCTATAATTGCTGGTTGTGAAAGAACTTTGAACATGGATGTGGCATAGTGTTCCCCTTCTAGACCTTTTTCTTTTTTTTCTTTTTTTTTAATATTCTGTTTTTTTTTTTTTTTTTTTAATATTCTGTTTGGTTTAAGTGAACCCTCCACTTTGAAGACATGAATGCTTAATATGTTGAAAATATCGTAGTGTTTTTGTCATTATTAGTATTGTTGAATGTTGAATTTATCTTTTCCTCTGATATTGCATTACTTGAGGCATATTTGGAATGTAGATGCAGCTCAAAAGCCGAGTATTCTGTTATTTATCAGGTAAGTGACTTGGGGCTTCAATGTAACTCTCACTTGGGCACAAGTTTGATTTTGTTTTAACTTTGAACTGAACTTATATCACTGTTTCACTAGGCAATGGGGTTGATCGTATGAGGTACTAGTGTCCCTTTATTATTTTGGAGAAAGTATTTATTGCTTTTTCGCTGTTTGAATGTCTCTATTCCTATATTGCATCTGCAGGCAAAAAATGGAAAAAAAAAATAAAGAAAAAAAGATGGTTTGTTGTGCGTTTTAACGGTATATGTTTATTAATTTCTGCAGCATCGTTTCATAGTATGATTTGATTTGGAGGCTGAAGATGATGAACCGGACCGTTCGAAAGATACCGATGCGACACCGATGCGACGAGTGAATTTGATTGGGAGACTACTCATAGCCAACTAGTTAATCAATTTGATGAAGAAAAGCTTCCTAATTTTGATTGTGATGGTTAAAGATGTTCAAAAGAGGTGGTGAAGGACTTGTGACCATACCAAGTAGCCAAATTTCGCCCCCACCCTTGACACGACGAGATCCCCTTCGCCGTTCGCCTCCTCGCCATGTGTGATTGAGTCACCCTCATACAGCTTGCACGCTTGCAATTTACCATAAGATCTTCTTCAATAAGTGAATATTTTAGGGTCAGTTTTTAATTCCAGTTAATATATGACTTTATATAAGAGTTTTTTATTATAGTAAAAAAGTTAAATGTGACTGTTTCTGATAGTTTTTTACTATAGTAAAACTCAAATTCTAAATTCGAATCAATGAAATAAACAGAGCATTATTGATGTTTGCATGCCATTTACCGTGCAGAAATGAAAGATTTTATAAAATACCCCAATTGAATGTTTAAGTTCAGGCTTAATTTTATTTTATCATTTTTGTAAAAATTAAGTAAATGGTCATTTTTTTTACCACTTTTTAAAATGACTGAGCTTTTCTTTTTTTTTTTTTAGACAACTAACTAATTTTTTTTATTTTAAAAAAAGGGTCGTTTTTCTATAATAATCAATAAGTAAATGACTCACGATTAATTGAATGGTTCACTATTAGTTTACAAAGGATTTATCATTAATAGAATTGTAATTTTTTAATTGGAAGTTAATTACTAATAGATATTGATTAATAATTAAAAATTATCGAATTAAGTTATAGACCGTTAAGTTAGTTATTGATAAATCGTTAAATTAATCAATAATAGCTAAGTTAATTAAGAGTCTATTTAGTTCGTTGATTTAAGTTTTTAATTCGAGTTATATGTGATTTTATATGAGAGTTTTTTACTGTAATAAAAAAATTAGATTGTGATTATTTCTTAGAGTTTTTTACTGTAATAAAACTTAAATTTTAAATTTCAAGGGAAATGAATACGGCCTAATTATTAACTACTAAACTCATGGATAGTAGACAAAATTAAATAGTGATTAACAGTTTTCCTATTTTAATAAACCTAAATAAAACGATCATATACATAATACATCTATATCCTTTTTCTTTTTATTTTTACTTTTTTTAAGAGTAAAAAGACTTTTAAGAGTTGGAAAGACGCAGATATTTTTTTCCTAAGAAAAAAAAAAAAAACAGATATTTTGGTTTTCCAGAATGAAGACTCCTGTCTCTTTAGGGTTTTCTGTTCCCAATTCTCCTTCAGTTCACTCTAGCTTCAACCACCACCGTTGACGGCCATGGGCTTAGCAGCCACCCCGTTCCTTCTGTTTTGCTTCAGTTCATCTCTCAAGGCGAGTCTTCTTGTGAACTCTCTCTCATTCTTAAAAGCATTACCAAGTTTTTCATTTGAAATTTGCAGCTATGCCCTTTTAATCCCATGGAAAACGAATTTTAATATGAGTGGATCGGAGACTAGATTTTGCTTGTCTTATGTTTCTGTAGAGATTTATATTTATATGGTCGAGTTTTCATGTTCGGTAGTAACCCCAAGGAATTAAAAATTGGTCGCAGTGTATGAAATCTCCGAGTTTTCATGTTCTACAAAGTTTTATTATTTTTCGTTTGTGTATGTAATAGTCACTTTAATTGAGTTTTCATCTTCTGTCCTTGCAACTAAGAAACTAGAAATTTGGTAATTGTTTTGTGTAGAAAGTAGAAGAAATGGGGAGAAATTGTCATCATATGCCAGAAGAGATAGTGGAGAATATCTTGTTAAGATTGCCTGTTAAATCTCTGTTACGCTTCAAATGCGTTTGTAAATCGTGGTACGCTCTCATCAGCGATAGATCGTTTTGCGGACAACCACCTCCACTTTAACAAGAAAATTAGCCCATCTTCCACATCATTGTTTTTGACTTATGATGATTTTCCAACTCTCCAAAGTGTTTTGATTACCATCTCTAATGAGGATGAGGATGATTCGTTTCCTTGTGTTGTTGAGGATCTCAATTTATCACATATTTGGGGAAGAGAGGATACAGGAATTGTGACGGCTTCTCATTGCAACGGCATCATTTCGCTAACTTTTTCATACGACACAACAACAACTGTCTTCTATAATCCAGCAATCAGAGACTTCAAGTTTCTTCCTAGACGACCACTTCCTGATGGATTTAGAGCTAGAACTGCTGGGTTTGGATACGACTCCGAAGCTAATGATTATAAGTTCGTCAGGATTTTAGATTCTGCAAAGTCGGAATGCAGGATTTTAGATTCTGCAAAGTCGGAATGCATTGCCGAGGTGTACACTCTTGGTTCTGATTGTTGGAAACAGATTAATGTCAATATAGAGCCTCATTTTGGATGGAACCTTTGGAAATTGGGAGTGTTCTGCAAAGGAGTTTATTTTTGGTGGATGCAAGGGGAGCACGAGGATACAATCCTTTCTTTTGACATGTCTACTGATGAGTTTCATTACATTCCATTACCAGATTATCTGCAATGGGAAGATGACCCTCTTTCTCTAAATTTTATGGTGTGGAATGAATCTTTAGCCGTACTTTCCTTTCCTTATCTAGATTGGGAGTATGTTGAATTTTGGGTTATAGATAGCGACTTTAGTGGTGCTGAAGGTCCTTCTTGGACTAAACATCTGACTATACGGCATGGCCCCTTTGCAGCGGTTGAAGATCCGATAATATTTTGGAAGAGTGATGAGCTTCTCTTTCGCACTGCGGATGAAAAGCTAGTGTCTTACAACCTTGGTACCGAAAACATTAGGAACCTTCCTATTCATGGGAGGATACCAGGAGACTGCTATGGTCACTTCTATATGCAGAGTTTGATTCCAGTCAACGGTGGAAACTAACTCTACTTGGTATTGGTTACGCCTGATATCCGCCTTGTCAATCAGCCTAGGTGAAAAAAGATGCATCAGATAAGAATCTCATTTGAAAGGCAATATCTAGTTTTACCCCATAACAAGAAAATTTTATTTTATTTTAATGCTTTAACATGTAGCCTGTGGTTGACCTGGAGATGGAATATAAGCTAATACCACATATAGACTTTGTTTTCTGTTATTGTCATTTCTAACATCACATGATCATCTTCTCGAAATCTTATTTTAATGCTAAATCACAGTTTATGTTGATTTATGAAGCATCCTGTTCTAGTAATATTTGAATTTGAATTTGGAATAGTGAATATAAGGTAATTAAAGTAAATTTATTATATTGGAAGGGCTATTTTAGGGAGAGAGTAATTGTAATTTACAATGGGTTTTACACTTAATTGTTATTCAACTGTTTTAGTGGAATTAGTAATTCCATTTAATAAGTTATTCATGTGGCTTGTTGAACCAGATGTCATTCTCGTCCCATCAAACCAAACGCACACTTATTGTTGCTCTCCCAAAATCTCTTTGGAAAAAGAAGCTCCCACGTATATTTCTGCACTTTATATTTTGTTGGTTATAAGTTGTTCATTCTCGATCTAAGGCCAAGTTTGGAATATTTTAAAATAAGCAACTTTTAGTTTATTAAGGCCCCGTTCACTTCGCTGATTCGAGTTTAAAATTTGAGTTTTTCTATAGTAAAAAGCTCTCACAAACAATCACATTTAACTTTTTTATTACAGTAAAAAGCTCTCACATAAAGTCACATCTCAACTCGAATTAGCGAAGTGAACGGGGCGTTAGTTCAAAAACTGCTTTTGACTTGTTTAGATAGACACATTAATCAAGTTTTTAGCTTTTATAAGCTCTTTTAGAACATCCTACATTCTTGGTGTTTATAAAAAGTTTTTTATTTACATTTTTGACATTTTATTTGTGAATAAAAAATTAAAAATTCTATCCATATTTTCATGTTACGTTACTTTTGTACAAAATTGGGCAATGATAAAACAACTTTTGTGTGAGCAATTTCTCCCAACTCCCTTTGATCCAAATTTATTTTAACAAAACCGCAATTGTGAGCAAGGAAACCAATTGGTATTAGAATATGGTGATGAGTTCCAAACGCCAAGTATGAGATATTGGTGAACTGGTGAACATGAGATTCAACGTATTATTAGATTTCTTAGTGGATTGAAGAAAGAGATTTGAGAAGAAATTTCTTTATTGACGGTGTTTGATTTGTCCGATGTTATTAATTTACCAACAGAAGTTGAATGTAATCTTATGGAGCTTAGTGAGGGCACTTTTGAAAAAGGTCTAAAGAGGAGCAACAGTTGATTGTTGAGGGCTTAGTTAAGGATGAGCTTGAATTGAAAGATGGATTAGTTGTGGATGAGCTTGAATTGAAGAAAGATGGTTTTGTTGTGTGCGAATTTGATTGAAGAAGGATCGATGGGTTTATTAGCAACCTCGACCCGTTTCACATCCAACAAAGCTGAGGGAGTTTCCCCAGCATACGGAAAAAAAAAATCCAGGATGTCGGCTTTCAAAAGACAAGTAAGGGACTTTCTGTGGAAAGTTCTATAACTTCTATTACAGGATAGAAATAGAGGTCACAAGGTAAGGGACCGCTTTATTTTTATTTCCTTTTATGCTTCTAGAAACAGCTCTGAGAGTATCAGCAAAAGAAGAATGAAGGTTGTTCACCGATTCAAGTGGTACGTGAGTTGGGTTTTAAAACGTCAGAAGACAGTTTGGTTCTGATCTACCGTTGGTGTTAAATGGAGAACTGCGAGGGTGAGGAATTGGGTGGGAGATTGGGATTGAGAAACAAAAGGCGTCAAGAGAGATTGAGACCTATTTCACATCCACCTTATTGCGGACTTCACGCGAGTGACATTGAGTGATTTCAAGACCAAAGGGTTGAGGTGCCGTCATTGACGAATAGCTTGGTATTTTGGTGGATGTATTAATAAATCTCATGGGTGCAAATATAATTACTCATTATGTATTTCAATTACTTTCATGTTTCGCAAATTTTGAAAATCTCGTTTTTATTCACGCGAGTGACAAGTTGAAAAATCTCTGTTTAGTGTTTTCATGTTCTTGATCTCCTTCCATTCACTCTGTCTTCAATGACCACCATCGACGGCCACGCCTTTACTTCATTTTCATTTCTCAAGGTGAGTTGATAACTCAATGAAATAGAGTTATTTAGCATACTTTTAGGCTTAGTAGTTGTTTATTTTCTCAAGGTAAAATGCCTTAGTGTTAGTATTTTGTATAACATTTGTTAGTTTTTGTTTAGTTGATAGAAGGTTGATATTTTTGGAGCAATCTCGTTATAACATGGATTTAGTCCTCATGTTCAATACAGGAAAACAACAGGGCAGTGTTGGTATTTCCCTTTCCTTTTCGACAAAAAAAAAAGAAACCCTAGCAGCCCCCACCTCCCAACCCCACCTCGTGCTTCCTTGGCTTTAATTTCTCCCACACCGTCGACCCTACATACCGACCTTTTCTGAGCCTCACAGTTGCTCGAATTCGAGGGCCCCAGCTGTTCAGAGTAGCCAAGTGGACTTTGGGCACCAGTTTTGCATCTAAAGTTTGGGGGCGTGCTTCATTCTGCTCGAGCAGCACCTCTATTTGTTGATTTAACAATGGTGCACACAAAAAGACCCGTCAACAAGATAGTAGGTCGGTTGCCAAAGGACCCGCAACTCAATTATAGGACATTTCTCTCACTAGCGGCTGAAACCAGGTACGAGAAGTGTATTTTCAAGCGCTCTTTTAGCCCTGAAAAGGGTTTCTTGTTGACGGACTCCCCCACTATGGGGTATGACAAGTCAATATCCTCAGTGATTAGTGCCCTTAATTGGAAAAAATTCTGCTCTCACCCGCCGGCCGCCATTGTTCCTCTTTTCAAAGAGTTTTATGCCCATTTCACCAAAGAGGGGCAGCAACGGGTGTATGCGCGTGGCGTTCTGGTCCCAGTTGACCCGGACGCCATCAACAGCTTTTATGGGTTAGGGGGGTCCGTCGATTTGCACTCTGAGTTTGCAGCGACTGCTGATGCGACGCAGCTGGACGCAATGCTTGATTACCTCTGTATCGAAGGCACACCCGGAGCATATCAAAACAGGGTGCCATGATAGTTCCAAGAAGTAGCCTCGCACCGCAGGGCAAGATCTGGTACCATTTTCTAAAAACCCGCTTGCTACCATCAATGACTATGGACACTGTGTCAAAAGACTGCATGTTGCTGCTGGATTCCATCATCCAATGCCGCCCGGCAAATGTGGGGAAAATAATCCACAAGGAGCTTTGCGCATGTGTGCGTAAGTCGGGCAGCAGTTTGTGGTTTCCAGCCCTCATTTCGGGTTTGTGTCTAAGCAATGGAGTGCCGGTGTTTCCCACTGAGGAGAGATTGTCATCACGAGGCGCTATAACCACTCGGACTATAGCCCGGATGACATAAGTCCGACTTGATGACGCACGTCCAGTTGAGCAGCCTGCCATCGATGATGAGGAGCAAGACCCTGCGCCGCAGGCCACCACCAGTGGATAGGCTGCCGAGTCCAGTAGTAGGGGTCAAGCCTCTGAGGGAATGGTTCACTCCCTCCGCATGTTGGAATAGCGCATCACTCTTCAGGAAATTCAGCAGTTTCAAACGTTGAAAATGCTGCAGCAAATGCATAAGCAGTAACAAAAATACTAGGCCTATGCAAGGCAACGGGACATCGCCTTGAAGAAGTCACTTCAGAAAAACTTCACCAAGCCAGTTTCCCGTTGCCTGAGTTTCCTGAAGAAGTATTAGAGCAAATTGCCACCGAGGAAAACGATGAAGACGATCCAGAGGATTGAAGGAGGAATGCAAGGGTAGGCAACTTGCCTACCCTCCCCAGGGAGTATCAACCTTCTTTTATAATTTTGCTATGTTTAGTTTTACATTTTTTTCTGTTTAGTTTGTTTAGGTAGTTCTGTGATTATTTCCCTAAGCAGTGAGGACACTGCTTCCTCTAAGTTTGGGGGTGTGTGGTTGACAGGTTTTGTGTTATCTGTGTGCTGGTTTTTGTTCAGTATGAGTTAGTATGTTAGTTTGTTGTTTGGTTCTGTTTTATGGTGGTGTTTCAGTCTTGTTAAAAAAAAACAACAATGTTTCGTTTTTGTGTTTTGTTAAGTGTGAATAAATGCTTTGGTTTTGCTGCAGCTATGTTGGTTTGAGGACATTCCATGAAAAGTGCAATGTGTCGAAAGTCTCAGCTTGTGTAATAAATTGGTATGAGTTAAAACTTAGTGATATCTGTGGTTCGGTTGCTCCATGAATGTGATAATTTGAAACTTAGCACGTTAGACTATAGCATAGTCGTCTGTTGGAAAGCCTAGGAAATTTCGAGTTATTGTGAGAGCTTAGGATCATAGAACTGATTGTGCGAAACCCTTGAAGCGAAACTTTAGGGAGCCAAATGTTTTAGGGTGATTTGATATTGAAAAGGGTTGATGCTTAGGGTTATAAGTTTTTAAAAAAAAACACCTCATATGCGTAAGATACTCCTCTATTTCGAGCTGCCTAGTAACCAGGAGTAACATGAGCTCCATGTGTACTTTTGTGTCAAACAGCGGTGCGGGATATGAGTTTGCTAGAGCAATTTTGACTTGTGACGTTGCTGAGTAACCGGGTGTCTTCATCACCAATGTTGGCATTCGCGTAAAAAGGTAGCAGTGACATGAGGAATTCAAAAAAAAAAAAAAAAAGGAGAGAAGTGAATATTTATGCACCTATCTAATGCCCTTAGAGACAATTTGTGGAATGAGTGGAACCTTAGACGTTTGGTTAACTGGGCTGAGAGGAGAGGGGGTCAAGCAATCAGCTTATTAGATCATAAACTAGGCTTAATGATCGTGAATCGAGTGATCTTGGTGATTCAAGGATGATTAGCTATGGTCTCACACACGCACCTATAGAAGAATTTTATTTGTGGAGTGGGCGGATAGCGGATTGAACCGAGATTGAATGAAATGCTAATTGGAATTCAGTTGGAAATGTAGAGGCATTGTTGGAGAATAGAGAACCAACTTGTCTGGCAGCCAAAGCAATTTCCTGTTTTGTGTATTGAGTCATTTTATGTTGTTATGTTTTGTGTTGTTAGGCAGTACTCGAGGGTGAGCAATGACTTAAGTTTGGGGGTGTGATGACTCGATGAAATAGAGTTATTTAGCATACTTTTAGGCTTAGTAGTTGTTTATTTTCTCAAGGTAAAATGCCTTAGTGTTAGTATTTTGTATAACATTTGTTAGTTTTTGTTTAGTTGATAGAAAATTGATATTTGTGGAGCAATCTCGTTATAACATGGATTTAGTCCTCATGTTCAATACAGGTGTGTTGACTTTGGGTAATTAGTGCAGGAAAACAACAGGGCAGTGTTGGTAAAAGCAATTTGAAAGAAAAGCACAGTAAAGGAAGTGAAGGCAGGAACAAACCCGTTGCTGCAACAAAGCTATAGCAACGCAGATGCAACCAAAAGGTGCAAGCTGGTGCAGTTTGTTTTCATGTACAGCTGGCAGTGGTCCAAATTGCCGACTCTGACATGAGAGGACAGCTGTAAGAGCACTAAAGCGGGGACCATCAGTTTTGGCTCTGAAGCAGACACATGTAATTAGGGTACCTCATCCTGCCTTAGTATAAAAGGAAAAAGAAGAGTACTGACCAGGCAGCCAGAGACAGAGAGGGAGGCGCACAAAATTCTTGGTACGAGCTGAGAGGAGAGAAAAGAAGAGAGTACAAGAGAAATTGTGGGCGCTGGTTTCTGGAGCTAGAAGGGGATAGTACAACACGGATACACACATGTTTTGGCCTCAGATTTTAGCTTAGCCATTTTCTTCCTCTTTCTGTATTTGCTCTCTGTGAACGAATGGAGCTGTTTATTGTTATTATTTCTGATTTTGTTGACTTAAACATGAGCTAAATTCTTTAGCTAGGATTATTGATGGAACCAAAGTTACAATGAAGATTTATTTGTTATTCTAATTGCTTGCGTAATCTTCATCCTGTTTATTCAAGTATAATATTGTCCAATTTCTGTTAAGTGACAGGTCATCATTTAGTGGAAAATATAAACTTAACTAATTCTGGAAAGGTTAGTTTAGTTAGATCTAGCTTGGATAATATAAGGGAATAGTATATGAATATATTATTGTCTTGTACAATCTATTAAAATTGGTGCTTAACTTCAGGTTTGGTAAACTAAAGTGCATAGGAATATGTTGGTTTTGGTTTAAGGAACTATAAGCACAGATCTGTCGGAAGATGAATATGCAGAATTTTAGGTTGATTGGATGAACTTTGCTACAACAATCCTATAGCAAAATGTGGTTGTTGTAATCAATTCCTTATTAACTCAGTCCCTGTGGAGACGATACTTTTACTCATTACTGTATTACTTGTGCGATTGCGTGCCCTTGCGTAGAGCTATTTTCATACATAGGATTTTGTCGCAACATGAGTCTCATCAACTCTCTCTTCAAACAATTGCCAAATTAATTTCATATAAAATTTGCAGCCATAGTTTCTTAACTGAATGCAAAATAATAAATCAGAAAGAATAAAATTACTAGGTTTTGAATGTCTTAAGAAGTACTAAGTTACTACAAGATCACTAAAACAAGGATAATCTTTGGTCTCGTTCACTTCACGGATTCGAGTTTTCAATTCAAGCTGAGATATGACATTTTCTGAGAGCTTTTCACTGTAGCAGAAAAAGTTAGATGTGACATTTTTTGAGAGCTTTTTACTGTAGAAACCTAAAATTGAAAACTCGAACCAGTGAAATGAACGAGGCCTTTATCTATTGAAAAAACTTGTCAACTTTCCAAGAGGAAAAAAAAAACTTCATTGATGAAAAAACTCAAATATACTAATTGATATTATATTTACAAAAGGAGAAATCAAAAAATTAAAAGGAAAAAAAAACAAAAAGTAATTGATAAAAAATTAACCACCATGCAAAACTTTGTTTGGCTTGCATGAAACCAAAGAGGAGGCCATCAGAGCTACAAGTCTAGAGCTAGACCAAAGCAAAACCAGAAACCATGTTGGACAAGAGGAAGCTCTCTTTAGAGTCTAACCCGGACAACAAATATTTCGTTTATTTCATTAATTCGAATCACATCTCCACAGTTTGTTATTTTTTTCTTACTTTACTGCCCGTGATATTTTCTAGTTTGCATTAATGTTTTTTTACATTAAACCTTTCCAAAAAGTTTGAATTATATCCCAATTGTTGAGGGAAACTTTTGAATTTTGATAGACTTGTATTTTAAATATAAAATAACAAATAAACCAAAAATCAACCACCATATTATATGAATTATTCATTTTGTGAACCGTAAATTTTAAAAATTTAATTACACTCAATTAAAATAGTTGTATTCTTTTTTTCAGTGAAAGCTTTTGGTTTAATCACACACCTTGAAAAAATTTCAGACTTTTAACCAAAATAAATAAAGTCCATTGTCAGTAATTAATGATCTCTTCTTTTCCATGGAGCTTAGGCTTCTTAGGAAAATCCCTTGAAGAATAGGAATCACAACAATATTAGAAATTGTAATTCGAATTGATCACTAAAATAAACTTAAGAGCTTGCTTAATCATCTATATAAACTTAAGAACTTGCATAATTTTTAGATCCATCTCAAATATCAAGGCTTTGGTTCAAGGATTAAAGAATTAAGTATCTCTTTCTCGCTCTATTTTCTCCCCTTCATAATCGATGCTGCCTAATGAAGGCCCATCTAATTGTTTGGAAGCAGTGACTGTGAATGAGAGAAATAGAGCAAACTAGTCCAGGAAGAACAAGTAATCGTCAAGCTTTTGTTTATATCTCTGGTTCTACACATTCAACAAAAAAAAAAAAAAAAAAAAGTTATAGAATGTAAACTATAATTGCATACCAGATTTTGAAGATATTGAAATCTTATGATTTTTATCTTAATAATTCAGTTGATTCGTGAATTGGGTTTTGGCTAGTTTCTAGTTTTACAAAGTTGATTTTAATGCTATTGCTTAAATTGAAAGGTTTCAGAGCCTCTAATTTCTTCTCTCGTTTTTTTTTTTTTTTTTTTTTTTGATAAAACTTCATTTAATTATTTTAAGGTAGAATTTCTTTCGCCTCAACCGCAAGGGATTTGTTAGTGGTGAATGATCACTTGGACTCGGTGTCTTAGGAAGTATTTAGTTTTAAGGTTCGATTGCCATTAATTGTTATCTATTCCTTGGGGCCACATGAGGCTCTAGATTTTACGGACTCAAATCCCCTGTTTAATTTTAGTGTCTCTATTAGCGTCGT